TTTACACGACACCATTCGAAGACTACTGACAAAGCCAATCGAAAATAAGGTGGTTCCGTAATAAAATACAGGAAAAACAAACAGATATGTTCAAAACTTCATGGAAGTGCAAGAAGCAGACAGAAAGTGGAAGTACGGAGTTTATCCACTGTTGGACAGCCACGTTTGAAGCTTCTTCATTTCTCAGGTGTCAAGTTAAGCTTTAATTTTTCTATGGGGACGACAAACAGCTTACAAGTAGTATGGCTGATTACATGAGCATACGCAGGAAGCCGATGGCTGGGCTGTTGCTCGGGTCATGCGCAGCACAACTTGGAAATCGAATCGTATTAGTGAATAAGTGAACCAGACCTGTGGAAGATCAGCCAAAAAGCATCAGTCTAAAGTGAACACCTGATTAATTGGTACCGTAGAGTTTATTTGACTGAAGTATTTTTGAACAAGGCAAAGGTGACGAAACGTGCAGAATTTGTTGACGTCATAAATTTCGAGACCTCTTATTCAACTGCACACGTTCATTTGGTATTTATAAGACAAGGCAAACCGTTCAATCAGCAATCGATCTAGAGGGGTGAAACGTGATAGGTAAAATGAAATATGGACTATTGGTCTGGTATGGGGGTGCGCATGGTGAAGGTGTAGGGGGAGAAAAGTCAAGTAAATAGGCGAGCTCAGATTACAGTGAAAATTTGTCGGACGGGATTACAGATGCAGCGCGCGAGACAGCAGCCAGTCATGCCGGGGAGGGCGGGGGAGTTGGGCAAAGGTGAGAGGACGGACATGGGAACGGTGGTACGTCCATTATCGACCCTTACCATGGCAATGCGAGGTTGATCACGTGATCCAGCTGCTTACACAGTTCTCGTCTCCTCTTCCGTATTGCAGCGGCCTCTACGAAGCGCAAGGGACGCCCAGTCGTCGCCCGAAACAGGACCTTGAATGCAACCACTGGGTCCATCGTATGGTCCGTGTCCACTAGGTGCTTTGTAATTGAGCTCCTGAGTTTTCTGCTATTTCCGCCTTAAGTAGCCACTTCGGCATGTGTTCAGCTAACCAAGCTGCTAACTGCCTTTGCGTGCGCCTAATGTAATTGTATGAGCAACTACACGTAAACTCATGAATACAGTTTGATGTGGCGTGCATGGGCAGAATGTCTTTAGTTGGTCTAATTGGAATGGCCGTTGTAGGTCTTATGAACAACAACTTAGAGGCGGCGTACGTCCGTTCAATCGTGCATCGAAGTCGATTAATCACGTTTGACACAGTATCACGCCTGAAAGGGACGCAGTCATTGGCTTTTTCGGTACGGATATTTCTGCAGGAATTCCTTGTCTGGGATGGCAGTATTTATCGATTAATTGCCCCGGATACCCCTTTCTAAGAAGAACGTCCTTGAGGAAAGTAATATTGTCATCAATCGTATCTGAGAAACAAATTCTTGTGGCTCTGTTGAACAGACACGAAGCCAAGCCCCGTTTTCTCTGGATTAGAGCGAAGCTGAGGAAGTGCATTCATTGTCCTTTCCAGGTGGTTTTTCGATAGATGCATCTCTGAATGAGACCATCTGCCCGCTTACGTACAAGAATATATTGAAAAGGCAGTGTGTCGTTATCATGCTCTATCGTAAATTTGCTCTTTGCACGGACTTTGTTCATAGACTTAAAGTAGTAATTCTCCGTCCTCTGAGTTTTTGACTACGACGAAGGAGGTTCGTTGTAAGTTTCGGGCTAATTTCCGCTCAAGGTTCGACATGAAAATGTCCGCTAGGGCTGACCGCAATGGACTACCCATAGCTACACCGTCGA